TTAAAAATCTGGAAATATACGTGATCTGTCTGTGTATCTGGCCGGATGACCGAAAATCTGGAAAATCCAGATAAATCTGGAATACTGGCAACGCTGCTCCCAACACAGTTTACCCATTTTGGTTAGGTTCAGTTTTGACCGATCTGGGTGAATTCTACCCAAATTTGGGAAGTTTTGAAATACCGATAATCTACCTACTTGAGCACAGAAACCTACCTAACTACTTGAACTAGGTTGCCAAATCACGAATGATATGGTGGTTTGATCGCAGATAGGCGACTCTGAACCAAGGTTGCAAATACTCATTTCAGCTAAAACAATGTTTTTTTTTTATAGTTGAAGATGCTAATTTCAAATAACAGACTGTAGTGGTAATTTTTATACGATAGATGGAGTAGATGAAAGCATAGAGTTGATAGTTCCGTTAGAGTACGGTAGTGTGAAGATTGTATATAGATATTAGACAAGCGAGCTAGGACAACTTTTAAGGAAGGTACAAATCGGTTTTTTCATCTCTCTTTACCAAACTCCCCCTTTTGGAGAGGGATGGTGAGGGGTGCCCCCCCCCCCGCCACCACTGTTTTTTTATTATTATGAAATAATTAGATGCCATGATCATATTTTGAATTGGTAGGATACAAGAAGTGATTGCAAAAAATGTGTTTGACATACTAAACCTGTTTATTTCACTTCATGAGAGTCACAATCAGCGATTTTTCACACACTCACTCACTCACTCACTCACTCACTCACTCACTCACTCACTCACTCAGCGATCAGCAAATCGCTGATTGTGACTCATAGAAAGCAAAATTTACAGGTTTTATGTTTCAAACGCATACTGTGTAACCTCTTCTTGTAAGTTATAAGTAAAACATGTAAAACATACCATCTTTTGGTTTTATTATTCCGAAAAACATTATTTTAGCTGAAATGAGTATTTGCAACCTTGCTCTGAACCTGTCCAGCGTGGTCGTCTTTCGCTCCTCGAGTGTTAAAAGACCGGCCGGTCAGATGGTGAATCTCAGAATTACGAGTTCGCGGTGGACTGTTAAGGATCATTCTGAGGATCTTGTTTTGGATCCTCTGAAGCTTTGGGTGGTGGCCCTTAGCACAACTCTCCCAGATTGGCATACCATACTCAATAGCCGGCAGAATGATCTGCTTGTGGACAGCAAGCTTGTTTTTGAGGGACAGGGTGGACTTCCTGTTTATCAGACGGTAGAGCGACCTGATCAAGATGTTACACTTGGTGGATGTCTTGTCCACATGGGATCGGAATAGCAATTTGCTATCGAGGGTGAGACAAAGGTAGAATACTTCACTCGACCATTCAATGGGAGTGCTATCAAGATGGATCTTGACGTTAGCAGGTGGAACAAGCCAAGGTGAATTCGAGTGTGGAAACAGAATAGTTTGTGTGTTTAGCTGCACTGATACAAATCTTCCAGCTCTTTTAATAGTCGGACAAAACATCCAGGCCTGATTGTAGTTTACTCGCCAGAGCACGGATCACTCGACCCTTATAGATGATGGAGGTGTCATCTGCGAACATTGACAGGATACCACCACCCGGCAGGGGAGAAACGTCTGACGTAAAAATGTTGAATATAATAGGCCCAAGCAAGCTACCCTGAGGGACCCCTGCATCAACGTTGAACGTATCAGAGGGGACATTGTTCAAGTAGACCTAGAATGATCTGCCCGACAAGTAGTTGTTGATGATCTTCACGAGGTAGATCGGAAAGTTGTATCGATGCACACTAGGCCATCATGCCAGACATTGTTGAACGCCTTCTCGACGTCCAACAATGCCATGGCAGATGTATTGGAAACGGACTTGTTCCGCTTGATGATGTTAGTAATCCGCGCGAGTTGGTGGATGGTAGAGTGGCCTTTCCTAAACCCGAATTTCTCTTTGAGAAAGATGTTATTATCATTTGAAAACTCCAGCAGACGGCTGAGTATCAACTTTTCGAATAGCTTCGAGATGGAGGACAAGACAGGCTTGTGTATTGGAATCACTTCGGCTAACTTCCAGCATGCAGGGAAGTAGCCAAGCTCCAAACATTTGTTGAAGATAACGGTAAGATGGTTGAAGAAGTTTTTCAACTCGAGGTTGACTAAACCATCCATACCCGCGGCCTTCATGTTTTAGTGCTTCTAACAGCTGCTATCACCTCATCAGCCGATATTCTACTATCACTACTACGGAGGTGTCAGCGACTCTAGACATTGCCTCCATTACGGCAGGCTCATGAGGGCTCACCATGGTTTGGCCAAGATTATGTGAAATCACAAAATGTTGGCCAAGAGCATTGGCCTTTTCAACTGGGGTTATGAGTAGGGATGGGTCCGAGTTCTGGTCAACAGAGGAAAGCGGTTGGATTAGTCTCGACTTATTTTTAAAATTTTTGGTTATCGTCCAAAATGGTTTTGCACAATCTGGGAGAGCAGTGTTCACTCGGCTGTCGACAAAAGCAGGCCACTCTCGATGTGTGCCACGCGATCGTCTGTTTTCTCGGCAGCAACCATTGTGTGGTCCTCCTCATTGTTCTTCATCAGCAGTTCTTTCGGTCGATGCGTCGTCGACTTTGGAAAGCAACCGTTTCGTGATGAGTGTGTGAGTGCTGACCACGTTTTGCGTCCATTGCTGCAATGGACGCGCTCTGACCCTCGTTGGCGTACAACAATTTGCCATACAATGAAACTACTGGAAGCGGCTCCAGTTCTGATGGAGGAGGCTTTTTGGATAGCGGAAGATAAAGTGTTTATTATGTTGTACCTTTTGACTATAGTTTTAAGATGTATTGTATAGTGACCAAGAATCCTCGGCTCTGTAAAGTTAATTCGGTTGAGCCTTATCAAATAAATTAATGAACAAAAAAAAAAAAAAAATCTGGGAGAGAGCGAATCTTGTTGGCAAAATCGTTATTTCCGAGTTCCACCATCCTGGCCTGGATAATTTTGGTTTGCCTATTGACATTGGTCTTCAAGTGGGGCAGCCCAGAACGCTGGAACTGCGTACGAATGGTGTTACGGAGCCTGATAAGATCTTTGGTTGGGCTGTCAAGGTTCAGAGTATGACTCACCTGTCTGGATGATGGTACGTGTTGCTCCCTGGCACGGCATATCGCCTCTTCGATGGTTTGCAAACACCGATCGACTTCTTCGAACGACTCCGGTAGGACGTCGTAGTCGATTGCTGTGTCCACACAGCGCTGGTACAGCTGCCAGTTGACAAGATGGTAATTTCGCCGGGAAACTTGAAACCTATTGGCCGAGGAACCTACTTCGGTCACCACCGGATAGTGGTCCGAACTCAGTTCCTTATAGGCGACAGGTTGAGAAATGTTATCGCCAATGTTGCTGATGAAGGTGTCGATGGTGGCATGAGCTCTGGATTGACTCAACCGGGTTGGAAAGTCCGGACACAGGATGTTGTAGTGGGCTTGCTGCAGATCGTTGAATACGGACTGAACAGCTCAACAATCGAGTAACGAATGTGCAATTCAGTTATCGCTCCATATCTCGATATTGAAGGGACCATTGAAGTAGCGATATCAAAAAAGCACATCAATTGAAAAGCTTCCGTCTAGAGGATAGTTCAACTTGTCATATATTTACCGTCTGACGGCTCAAAATTTATGATATATCATCCTCAAGTAAAGAGACATCATGCCATGGACCAACAGGTGGATCTGGCCACATCAGGATATCCAGAACCAGTTTCAAAAAATGTTCAAAAATAACGATTGAGATTCATTTTAAGTCTAAAACTTGGTCGGCAGAACCCTCATAAAACCAAAATTGATGCTTGGGTAGTGATATTCGCAAAATTGAACTTTCATAGTTCAGACAGTTACCAAACTTTTCCTTTTGATATTACACGTAACACAATCAGAACTTCACCTATCCTCGTCATCGTGGTAAGAAAACTCCACCCAGAGTCAACCAGAATCGCATGTACCTCAAATGGCTCGAGCAACATACTCCTCAATTGGTTCCACTCCACGCTTCTGCCTCGTTAATGTTTTAGAGCTCATAAACAATGTGATTTATTCCAATCAAGATCGTCGGCTGGGACCAGCGATCACACCCCCGCCATTGCCTCCCTTTCGATGATTTCCATCCATTGGTGAATGTGCATCTGCTGTCCGTTCCGAGTAACTCAGCGTTGCCCGTCGTAGTACCTAGTAGTTAGAAGCGTGACAAGCTCGGAAGGTGGACTAGTTCATTTACGGTGCCCACACGCGACAACATCTTCTCCCTTGACGTATTTAGAACTAACGACCTACTCTCCACTGCTGCTGTCGGCTGCGGCGAATCAATTCCAACCAATAACAAACAAATAGCTCAGTTGTCGTTCGGGTAGGTGGAAGTAGTTCTACTTGGAAATGATCAGCTGCGGTGGTGCAGTATGGTTCCTATTTTTGCTGGTAATGATGATTGCTTCGTTTTCGGTACTCGCTGCGAACGGTAAGGTGTTGAAATTTAATTAAAAAATAATAAATTGAAATTTGTGTCACTGATTGGCAGTGAGCAACGGCAGTGGCGGTCCGGCGGAGGAGGACACCGTCGATTGCGATGAACTCAGCCGGTACTACAAGGTACTGGCAAAGCACTTTGGCGGAAAATGTGGCCCACATTGCCCGGAGAAGCTGCAGAAGGCTGTCAAGTGGTTCCGACGGGGGCAGGCTCAGCTGGAGAATGAGTGCTATTTCGATGCGTATGATGATATTTGAATTGGTTTTGTATGAATAAAAATGCGACTATCATGTCTAAATGAGGAAACAAGGGGCTTATGAGGTATTGTGAAATGAGACTCCCTGAAAAAGTGTGTCAAGGGAATTGAATCGTAAAATGTCTTTGTTAGGTACCTGAATTTAAAATTTTATTTGCTGTGTAAAATTCAACTAATTTTCGAATATTTTTCTTTTCTTTCAGGTACGTATCGCAGCACTTATGTCGATCTAGAAGAAACCTCTTCGCTCTCTGCATTGATAAGTACATTCAGAAGCGTTATAACCCACATTATTTCCTCGCTCCAAATCAAAAAGTAACCTTATTACACACAAATCCTTTATTTTATTTTCCATCGTTAAATTTTTTCAATCACAAATCATTTATCAGACAATCCAATCGTCCCACCTACTTCCGGTCCAAATAGTCATAGGCGTCGTAGTAGCAGCTCTTGCCCATCTGCTTGTAGGCCCGACCGAACCAATTGACGGCCGATTTGAGCTTGTCCGGGCAGTTCTTGCCCTTGGTGTCGCACTGGCCTCCAAAGTACTTCTGCAACTGTTTCATGTAGACCGTCATCTCATCGCAGTCGATCTCCTCCCCATCCGATGGCAGATCCGGTGGATATTTCGCTGAAAATTTACCAATCAAGCATCGGTTTGGATCTGGAATACAATATCGAACACTCACCTTGCGGTTCCAGGAAGCACTTGCTGTTGATCTGCAGGATGTCCACCAGCAGTTTGTTCAACAGCGACAACCAATCGGTGCAGGATGTCAGGGCAGCGTTTCGGTCCTTTTCCAGCGCTGAAGTCAACTTGGCCAGCTTGGAGAGCACGTTGATGGGGACCTGCGCTGGGGCGACGGGAAGCGTGGCTGGTGCAGTGTCATTGTTCATGGCTTCCGGATGCATGTCGTAGTGGTGAAATTGATTGAAGCTTTTGGCTATTCGGGTGGTCATTTCCTCCGGGCAACCGTAGACGTAGCAGACGATCAGCGTCCGAATGAGGTTGGATTTGATGGATCCGAACGTGCCCGGGATGCAGCTCTGCTCCGGGTCGATTTCGGCCGCGGTCGGACGGTAGAAGGTGGTTACTAGGAGTAAGGCTCCCGCGAGGAGAAAGCTTAGGTGGTTCATAGTGGGGGCTGATGCGGTACTAAGATCAAGGTATGGCTGGAAGTGCGAGTTTATATGGAGGTTTTGATCGTAAAACTGGTTGTTTGGGAAAGGTAATTATCGAATCAGGTGTAGGCCAGATGTAATTAAGGAATCAAGTGGTGTTTTTGAAAAGTATTTTTACTTCGTCGTTAGCCACTTGATTGTGACTGAAATCAGTCACACAAATGTTACCACCGCTGTTCTGTGACAAGTATGCAGCCTGATTTTAAAATTAGGCCAAAATGCTTGGCCATTGAAAGAGATCTTTATTTTCGACTAGATCATTTTTTATACCGTCAAAAACTATAAAATTAAATAAAAATTCATAAATTGGTATAGGACATTTTGATATGCTTCGATTTTAAATATTTTTTTCTAAATTTTTTCTTAAAATAAATCAAAAACATTTTTCAGATCAGAAATGCCGCTTTCGTCCTACAATTTTTGGAAAAATTTCAAAGACACCATTTTGGAAATTTTTTAAGGTGCAAAATTACAGAATGTAAGCAAAAATCTGAATCATTTTCCATTACAAACAATTCAGCAAAGTTGGCTCTGTAAAGTTTATTCGATTGAGCCTGTACAAATAAAGTAATTAAAAAAAAAATCAGCAAAGTTTCATACAAGTCGGAGAAGGTCGATTCAAAAGTTCAAACTTTTTCGCTATTTTGGATGGAACTATGAGAGTCCTAATTCTGTGTAAGGCAAAACTCTAACCAACTTTTCGAATTTTGTTATCCTCCTCCTCCAACTTTTTATTTGGAAGTAAATCCGCCGATGCTAATTCGTCTGCAGTACCCATATTAGACGCAGCCAGTACGCAGTTCGTCAAATGAGGGCCGTATGCTCTGCGTACTCCGAGGCAGAACCGAACTCAGGCTATTTTTCTAGGTGGTGAACTCTCATTTTTGCGAACCCCCAATCACGGTAGCGTAAAAGCGAAAGAGATGTGGCAACAATATCTCTCTATCATACCTGTTTCTCGGACATGGAGTGGTAGTTGTTCCTCTGACGACCCGACGAGACATCTCATAGAAGCTACATTCAAATTCAAATCCTTCTGACGTAGGACTACGTCTGTGATTTCTATATGGGGGTACACTTTGTGAAAACCGAAAATGGAACATGTAACAAAATTATGAAAGATTTTGAACGTTAATAACTCAGCTGCCCCTGGACCAATTTAAATAATCTTATCAGCAATCGATCAAAAATATTTCTACGCATCTGCTCAACTTAAGACTTCATAATTGCAACTGTTGCTATGATAATTGTTGCTGCGAAAAGCGATTTGCCTAACACAGATTTCAAAGTTGAATCAGTTTTCAAGGCTGCCCTCAACCGCTTATCGGATTCAGTTCCAATCAACGTGTGTGGTGGTGTCCGGTCATCGGCATCAGCAGCAGCAGTGCTTTCGGCGCGTGGCCTTGAACACTGTTCTGCAGTACACAATGAAAAAATCCATAGAACTGTTATTGATCGGAATCAGTAGCTCTTCGTGAGTCACTGTGGGCCATCTATGCCAAGCGCGTCACCCTCATTCCAAACAACATACAGCTCACCAGCCTCATCTATGTTTAACACCCTAATAGCTCAGCATTACTCAACCATCACGACAAAACTGTCCTTTTCAGGACCACCATAAATGTGTACAAGAGTATTTTTTGGACATTTGTCAAGGTCATCAATCGGATGTCAGTTCCCAAGATAGAGCTGGAACACGCAAATAAACATCACCATCAGGTAGGGTAAGACTCCCCCTACCCGACGGTAATGTTGGTTTGCGTGGGCGTGCCTTGAATTCCTAAAAATCATCGAGAGAAGTCATTGTTTACAAAAGCTGTTACGCCTAATTCCAGCTCTATCTAGATAGGTTTAAATATAACATACCATGTTCTTGATGGCAACATTGAGGGGTGCAATATCAAAAACCAAAGTCGGTCGCGGCATGAAAATGGTCTTATTTTGATCCAGAGATGATGGATTTTAATTCTTAATACGCCAATCGAAAGGAATTTTTTCTGCGAATCTGCTAAATTTAAGACCTCATCATTTTTCAAAATATCACTAATGAAAATTGCACGTATGTGCAACTGTTGCTAAGATAATTAAAATTGCGAAAAGCGATTTCCCTAACACAGATTTCAAAGTTGAATTCCATCCGGTCTCACCAAACGGTGTTTATTCAATCACCGTGTGGTGAGTGGTGGTGTTCTCCAGTACACAACGAAAGGCTGCCTGCAAGCAGTGAGCTGCAGCCCACATGAGCATCCATAGAAGGAGGAAGAAGCCGCATAGCTATTGATCGGAACCAGTAGCTCTTCGTGAGTCGCTGTGGGCCATCTATCTCAAGCGCGTCATACTAAAGAGTATAAACAGAGAGACCCCACTCAAATTCCTATTCCTACACAAAACACAAGCTCCTGCTCCAGTTAACTAATAAGATTTATTATATAAGATCACGTAGTCCTACGTCACCATTGCGTACAATCCCATATTGCTGTTCCTTGTAGTTTTTCATTATGCTTTCTTGGATTTCGTAGAATTTCGATGGAGTTCCTTAAACTTTTCTGGTGTTCTTAGAACTTCTTTGAAGTTCGCAGAACTTGTCTCAATTTGGCAACTTTTTCAGAAATTCGCAGATATTTCTTAAAGTTCACAGTAGTTTCCTAATGTTTTTAAATTTTCCCTGAGATTCCCAGAGCATTTTTAAAGTTTGTAGAACTTTCCTGGCATTTGAAATTTTTGAAGTCTCCTGCAGAGCTACATTGAAGTTCATATAATTTTGGTAGAGTTCACAGAACTCTCTTGAAGTTCGTAGAACTTACCAGGAGGACATTGAACTTCCCTAAAGCTCGCATAACGTCCTTGAAGTTTCTGAATGCAGAGTTTTCCTAAAATTTGTAGAACTTCGCTGAAAATCGAAGTATTTCCCTGAAGTTAGCAGTGTTTTTCTTAAAATTTGAAGAATTTCACTGATGTTCGAAGCACATCTATAACGGTTACAGAATTTTCCTGAAGTTTATAGAACTTCCCTGAATTTTCTGAATGTTGATGAACTTCTCTGTTTCTCTGGAGTTTGCAAGAATTTCCTTGGGATTCGCAGAGTTTTGTTAAAGTTCATAAAAAAATCCTATAGTTATGAGATCTTCATTGAAGTTCGAAGAACTTTCCTGGAGTTTATAGAAGTCACATGTGTTCGCAGAACAAGAATATCCTTGAAGTTCGAAAAAGTATCCTGAAGTATGCAGAGCGATCCTAAGGTTTGCAGAACTTTACTGAAGTTTAGAATTAAGCTCAAGTTCAAAGATCGTCTCCAAAGTTCGAAGCAGTTCCCTAAAACTATCATAACCTCTTTGAAGCTTGCAGAACTTCACTGCCCAAGCATATGTTCTATAACAATTTATATATCCTGTGTATGACTGATTTTGGTTGTAAAGGGTGATACGGTCAAAATTTGGTCAAGGGAAAACGCGTGTAAATCGGTGAAATCGTTTATTTAAAAAATCAAATTAAATTTCTTTTTCAAGTTCAATTAGTATAAAATTCAGGAAAAATATTCAGTTAGGCTTCCGCTTTTCCAAATCCGAATTGCCGGGCCTTACGCTTGACCCCTGCCATCAGATTTTGTACAGCCACCTTGTCCACCTTCTTCGCCGCAGAAAGCCAGTTTGCCTTGAACTGCTGCTCGCCCTTAGCAGTTTTTTTGGTCTTCTTTAGGTTCCGCTTGACAATAGCCCAGTATTTCTCAATTGGGCGGAGCTCTGGCGTGTTGGGAGGGTTCTTGTCCTTGGGAACCACCTACACGTTGTTGGCGGCGTACCACTCCATGGCCTTTTTACCGTAATGGCAAGATGCCAAATCCGGCCAAAACAGTACGGAACAACCGTGTTTCTTCAGGAAAGGCAGCAGACGTTTATTCAAACACTCTTTCACGTAAATTTCTTGGTTGACAGTCCCGGAAGCTATGAAAATGCTGCTTTTCAAGCCACAGGTACAGATGGCTTGCCAAACCAGATATTTCTTTGCGAACTTTGACAGTTTCATGTGCTTGAAAACATCTGCTACCTTTCCCCTTCCTTTTGCCGTATAAAACTCCTGTCCCGGAAGCTGCTTGTAGTCGGCTTTGACGTAGGTTTCGTCGTCCATTACCACGCAGTCAAACTTCGTCAGCATCGTCGTGTACAGCCTCCGGGATCGCGCTTTGGCCGTCGTATTTTGTTTATCATCGCGATTTGGAGTCACTACCTTCTTGTAAGTCGATAGTCCGGCTCGTTTTTTGGCTCGATGCACGGTTGTAGACGATACACCCAGCTTATTTGCGGCATCTCGGAGAGAGAGGTTAGGGTTTCGCTTGAAACTACCGGCAACTCTCTTTGTCGTCTCAGCGGCTTCCGGTTTTCGATTTCCCCCCGATCCAGACTTCCTGGCTGTCGACAAACGTTCCCCAAACACTTTAATTACATTTGTAACGGTTGATTTGGCAACTTTTAGCGATTTTGCCAACTTTGCGTGCGAGTAGCTCGGATTTTCGCGATGCGCGAGCAAAATTTTGATACGCTGCTCTTCTTGCTTGGACGGCATTTTGACAACTGAAGAGTGAATTCCAAAATCAAAATAGGAGCAACATTCTACACACACACACCTTCAAAATGAGGGGTGTTCAGGTTTTTTAAATGCAAAATTGAAAGAAATACGTCAAGTTGATATTGACCAAATTTTGACCGTATCACCCTTCATTCAATATAATTCTATGAGTTTGTGTTATTTGGGTGCAGTTTGCATAACTTCCCTGGAGTACGCAGAATTTCATTGAAGTTAATAGAGCGTTCCTGAAGCTGGTAGAACTTTCCGGTTGTTTGTAAAATGTTCCTGAATTTCGCAGTTTTTTCCTGAAGTCCGCAATACTTTCATAAAGTTCGGAAATCTTCACTGAAGTTCACAAAACTGCGCTGAAGTTCACAGAATGTCTTAAAAGTTTGCAGAACTTTCCTAAAGTCCACTGCAACTCCCTGAAATTCTTAATAACTTCTCTATAGTTCTCAAAGATTCCTTGAAAGCCACAGAGCTTTCCTGAAAGCTTCCGTAGAACGATGAAGGGAACTGCGTTGAAGGTCCAGAAAAAATCTATATTTAGTTTTGTAAAATCCAAGCAATTTTTGCGCCCTTCAGGATTTTTTACAGTGCTGCTCTAAAGCTCTACTGGCCACCGTTGATCGTCGTCTTTTCTGCACTTTTCCGAAGCAGCGTTGCCAGGTTGCCAGATTTATCTGGCACAGCCAGAGAAATTTATGCTCTGCCAGACATATTTTTTGACAAATCTGGCAGCTTCCTATGTTAATCGGCTGTGCCAGATTTTTGTCAGACATTTTTTTTCGGGTTTTGCCAGATTTTTTCAAAATAAGCCTGGCATCTCTGCTCCGAAGGAAGTTCCCTTGAATGATGAGGCAATTTTTTCGGAGTTCTAGATCTCCTGGATGGACCATGTTCCCAGCTATCGCAGAACGTAGGTCGACCCAGATGAATTCCCGAGAAGGAAGCCCTGGGCTGCGTCTTCAAGGGTGCCACCTTGAATTAAGCTGGGCTTGAATCCTCTCTTCTGTGTCCTGGCTTCGTGGTTACAAGCGAGAAATTACTTTTTTGAAGCACCAGATGGCAGTCAACCGGATGATCCGAACTTCGTTCAGTGGGGGAAGTTGGTTCTACTATTTCCTTCACAGCTCACCGATCGTCGAAGGCAATTCCAATCATAAGCCTTACCTTCCTCGTTCCTGATCTTCCGCAAAAGCTGCCTTACAACCTTGGCCGTGGTGATAGCAGCACTGGGAAGCTCTGTACTGTTGGGACTTATCCCTTCTGAAATTTGAGTCACCAGATTCTCCCTCCAGACACGTCTCAAGCCAGGTTATGGTACTGATAAAAATCTGGTCACTTATCCTGAAGGAACCCAGATCCCGGAACGCCACATGGTGTGTTATGTGGTTGATATCCCTCAGAATGATCTCCAATGATCTTTTTTAGCAAAATCATGAAGTTGTGTCGCAAGCCAGGTTTTATTTCTGATAAAAATATGGCCACTTTCCTTGAAAGAACTCGGATCTCGGAACGCCACCTGGAGAGCGGTCAGTAAGGTTGAAAACCCTCAGAATGATCTCCTATGATCTTATTTTGCAAAATTACGAGAACTTTCCCTTGCGGAATCCGGACCCCGGAACGTCACCTGGAGTGGCTAAAGAGGTCGAACCGCCTTACAATGATCCCCGATGATCTTGTTATGCAAAATCATGAAAATTGATGTGTCGCATGCCAGGTTTTGGAACTAACATAAATCTGACCACTTTTCCTCGTGAAACCCGGATCCCGCAACACCAACTGGAGTGACCATTGCGATTGAAAATCCTTAAAATTGTTTCCGATGAGTTTGTTTTGCAAAATCATGACGTTTGATATGTCGCATGCCATGTTTTGGTAATGACCAAAATGTGGCCACCACCCCTGAACAAACCCGGATTCCGGAACGTCACTTGGAGTGACCAACGAGGCCAAAACCCCTCAGAATGATCCCCGATGATCTTGATATGCAAAGTCTTGCAGTTTGATATGTCGCAAGCCAAGTTTTGGTACTGACCTAAATCTGAACACTACCCCTGAATAAACCCGGACTCCGGAACGCCATCTGGCATAGTCAATTAGGTCAAAGGCCCTCAGAATGACCCCGGATGACCTTGTTTTGATGAACTATGAAGTTTGACACGTCGCAAGCCAGTTTTTAGTTTTGACCTAAATGTGAGAACTTCCCCTGAAAGAACCTGGATCCCAAAATGCTAACTGGAGTGGCCAAAGCGATCAAAACTCCTTAGAATAATTCCCGATGATCTTGTTATGCGAAATCATGAAATTTTATATGTCGCAAGCCAGGTTTTGATACTGGCTTAAATCTGGCCACTTCCCTTGGAGTAACCCAGATCCCGGAACACCAACTGGAGTGACCATTGCGATTGCAAACCCTTAAAATTATTTCCGATGAATTTGTTTTGCAAAATCATGAAATTTGATATGTCGCAAGCCAAGTTTTGGTCCTGACGTAAATCTGGCCACTTCCCATGAAAGAATACGGATTCCGGAACGCCACTTATAGTGGTCAATATGGTCGAAAACCCTCAGAATGACCCATGGTGACCTTGTTTTGATGAATCATGAAGTTTGACATGTCGCAAGCCAGTTGCAATAACGAAATTTGAAATATCACAAGCTTGGTTTTGATACTAAATTAAATCAGGACACTTCCCTTGAAAGAACCCGGATTCCGGAACACGTACTGGAGTGGACAGTGCGATAGAAAACCCTCAAAATGAACTCCGATGGTCTTGTTTTGCATCATGAAGTTTGATATGTCGCAAGCCATGATTTGATACTGACCCAAATCTGGCCACTTCTCCTGGAGGAACCCGGATTCCGGAATGCCACCTGGAGTAGTGGATAAGTTCGAAATCTCTCAAAATGACCTTAGTTTAATGAACCATGAAGTTTGATGTGTCGCAAGTCAGGTTTTGGTACTGAACTAAGCTTAGAACTTCCCCTGAAGGAATCCGGATCCCAGAACGCCACCTGGAGTGGCCAAAGCGGTCGAAACTCCTTAGAATGATTCCCGATGATCTTGGTACGCAAAATCATGAAATTTGATACGTCGCATGCCAGGTTTTGATACTGGCTTCAAACCGGCCACTTCTCTTGGAGTAACCCGGATCCCGAAGCACCAACTGGAGTGACCAATGCGATTGAAACCCTCAATATAATTTCCGATGATTTGTTTTCCAAAATCATGAAGTTTGATACATCACAATACAACTTTTGGATCTGATCTAAATCCGGGCACTTCCCCTGGAGAAGTCCGGATTCCGGAACACCACCTGGAGGGTCAATGGTCGAAAACTTATCAGAATGGGCCTCGATAACCTTGTTTTTGCTAAATCATGAAAGCCAGATTTAGGTAGTGATCTAAATCTGGTCACTTCCCCTCGATGAAACCGGATTCCAGAACGCCACATAAAGTGACCGATGTACTCTAAAGTCCTCAGAATGACCCTGGATGATCTCTTTTTGCGAAATCATTAAATCTGTTATGTCGCAAATCAAATTTTGGCACTGTTCAAAATCTGGCCACTTTCCCTGGAAGAATCCGGAATCCCGGAACGCTACCTGGAGTTACCAATGCGGTCGCAAACGTCTCAATGTGGCCTTCGATGATCATATTTAGCAAAATCATGATGATGGACAAGTCGTACGCCAGATTTTGGTTCCGATCTAAATCTGGTCACTTACCCGGAGAAATTCGTATCCTGGAAAACCATCCATAGTGGCCAATGTGGTCAAAAACCCCGATGATCCCCGATGATCTTGTTTGGAAAAATCATAAAGTTTGATACGTCGCAAGCCAGGCTTTAGAACCTTGCAAAATTGACCACTCCCTCTGTAAGGTTACCTCAGTATTCCCCTAAAAATATCCAGAAGTACGGACGTTCCTGACTTGGCTGAAATCCATGAATTCAATCTGTGCTTTGAATCCTCAAACCTGAATATTCTGAGAATTCGGCTAGGTATTTAGGGTAATCTGCAGTGTACATTGGAATCTCCCAAATTCGAATAAAATTCCCTGAGCTTTTTGGACTAGTCTAATCAGGTTTCCTAGTCCTCCCGAAAGATCATCTGAACTCCTATCGATGAAAACAGAAGTTTTGAGAGGTTCAAATCATCAAATTTCTGCTTAAATCTACATTTCCACAAACCAATTTTGACAATTCTGATGTATGTCGGACACCCTTCAAGATCTCTAAAGCGTTTTTATCACTCTAAACTACATCTAAAGAAGAATTCAGGACTTAGCAAGCTTTCAACCCATAGTGCTTTAAATGTCCTTTATTTACTAAAAAAAACTTCCTATAGAGCTGCTATATCACACTTTGCCATTATCTGATGGCCAACCTTTCCATACCAACTGACCGCATACTTGTACTTGTTCGGACACTTGTCTCCCATGCGGGAGCACTTACGATCGTAAAATCGATTAAGTCCCATTAGGTACCCGACGACCTCCTCGCAGGATATGTTACCCACATCAACCTGCGATACTTCTCGTCTCGGTTTGGGCAGCAGTGAATCCGGCAGCAGTGGTCCCTGAGCGTAGCAGTACATTGGAGCTTCCTTCGGGTCATTACCCGTCATGACTGACCCGTCACCACCTCCAGCTACCATTCCACGTCCTCCGCCACTGGCCATACCTGCTGAGCCGTGTCCTCCAGCACCTCCCATGAGTGATCCGTAACCACCGGCACCTGCCATTCCTGCTGAGCCGTGTCCTCCAGTACCTCCCATGCCTGCACCGTAACCACCGGCGCCACTTGCCATACCTGCACCATAGCCACCGGAACCTGGCATTCCTGATCCCACCGATGAGCCGTATCCGCCACCACCACCGGCATTAGCTGCCATATCTGTTCCATATCCACTGCCGGCTCCTGCGTTTGCCATGTTGTTCCCAGCTGCCATGCGTGCTTGTTTCAGGTCGGCGCCAGTAGGTCCCGGATAGGTCGCCATGAATCCCGAAGAGCCACCTGTACTGGCCATTCCACCGGAATTCATCGCAATATCTCTGGGAACGGGATGACCTGTTCCGGCTGCTGCCTTTGCGGCGGCTATGGCTTGCTGATCATCCTGGATAGCATTCGAATCCGGTGGTGGAAGAGGCATCGCTGAAATCGGAATTGCTGAGGACTTTTTTTTATCACAATACCGCCCAGGAATTGACGACCCTAATCGAAGTACTTACTTCCATCCTGATTCTGAGCGTTGGTAATGCACAGAACTTGCCAGCCAACCACGAGAAAGTGTACCAGTTGAAATATAGCAGTCATGTCTTAGAAGGTTCCAGAACCGTTCAACTGAAGTCTGCGGAAGCTCATGGCGTCGGGCTTTTATTAAGTGTAGTAAAACCAATTCAACCAGTTGTTTATACGGTGTAATCATAATTATTGCTAGTTAACGATACTCAAATTAACTGCCATCTATAAACTAAGACCATATTGCTGTTCGTGTTCACGTGCAACGACCTGTAATCTACGTAACGATCCTTCGATCTCACAGAACACGATTCCTGGATCCGCATGGAGGCTTCTTGGTTTGTCGTTTGACTGGCATTTCCGCCGTCCCCTTGGCCGTCTGCTCCATCTGCTGGCAAACTTGGGTCATCATCTGAGTGACCTGATCGAACCACTTGACCGGGTAGAGGTGCTTGTCGCGGCAATCGTTACCCATTCTGGTGCACCGGCGGTTGTAGTATCGGCTCAACGCCCGCAGGTAGGCAACCACCTCGCCGCAGTCAATTTTGTCGATCGGCATCTGACGCTCCAGCTCGTTGAGGTTGGCCTGAACGTCCTTGGAAGAACAGAGGCTGGATTCTGTGTGTTATGGAGAAGGGCATTGGTTATGAGTTTGACCAAATATTTGTCTTGGGACATTACCAGGCAGAATTGCGGCGAACCCGCTGTGAAGCACTGCCAGACTGAAAATCAACGTAAGTTTGAACTGTAACATGCTGATTCGGACTGAAATCGGATCTCGAATAAAGCGTATTGCTACAATAACCAACTTCAGTTATCCGGAGGCTGGTTTTGTTTGAGATTTAGTAAGCGAAGATAATTTCCAACATAAATCGAATTCGCCACGGTAGCCATTGTTCTCGGCGGAGTTCGTTTCGATGCGATTGGCTTAGTTCTGTAGTGGAAGGGAGCTTGTCAAGATTCCTGATTTGTTGATAAGGCTGTTCAATCATCTTGCTGATGTAATACTTTTCTGCTTTGGTGTTTACTTGGAGATATGGATGTTAGTAAAGCTTTTTTACGTAGGACTACGTTTTTCATTTCTATATGGGGGTACACTTTGTGAAAACCGAAAATGGAACATGTAACAAAATTATGAAAGATTTTGAACGTTAATAACTCAGCTTACCCTGAACCAATTTCAATAATTTTATCACCAATCGATCAGACGTTAAGTTGTTAAGTTTAAGACATTAAAAATTTTCAAAATGTTACTGTTAAAAATCACACGAATGTGCAACTGCTGCTTTGATAATTAAAATTATCACCGATTGCCTGCGAAAAGCGATTTCCCTAACACAGATTTCAAAGTTGAATTCCATCAGATCTCACCAAACGATGTTTATTCAATCACCGCGTGGTGAGTGGTGGTATTCTCCAGTACACAACGAAGGGCTGCCTGCAAGCAGTGAGCTGCAGCCTACATGAGTATCCATGTAATGAGGAAGAAGCCGCATAGCTATTGAATGGAATCAGTAGCTTTTTGTGAGTCGCTGTGGGCCATCTATGTCAAGCGCGTCATACTAAAGAGTATTAACAGAGAGAACCCCGCTCAAATTCCTATTCCTACACAAAACACAAGCTCCTGCTGCAGTTAAAAAAAAATATTACGCAATGGTGACGTAGGACTACGTCACCATTGCGTACAACCACATATGGCTGTCCCTATCAGAATTACTCGACCAAGTTAAGTTTGTTCTGTTTTGTTTTAGTTACTGAGACTTAGTCGGAGTTGAGATTCGAACTAGTCACTTTAAGCGTGAGAGGCATGAATGGATCTTGAGTTAACTAATCCAAACCAAATCGTAGGTTATAATTTGTAATGTGTAGAACGGATGGCCTGAATATCATCTGACTAGAAATGTTATAACCTAAGCCAAACTAACCTAGGACTGTTAGACCTAAGATCAAGTTGACTTTTGAAACATATGGGTTTCTCGACCATCCGGACAAATTGTTTTTCTAAATAGATCTGACGAGCTTCTGTTGATTAATCTGAAGATCTTATGATGGTGTGTCTTGAGGAAGGTTCTGAATGGTTTTGTCATGACTCGGAAGCACCCATGAACCGTTCTGCAAGACTTTCCTGGAATTGTGGACCATTTTTCGAAACATCGCTGAAACATCAGAAAGAATCTTCTAACCTGTTGATTTGATCTGGGTGCGAAAGTCCTCGAGGAATGTACGTTAGTACCCTAGCAGCACACTTGTCATTTAACAATTGTGGTTACTTGTATGCACCTTATTTCAGTCACAATCAAGTTGCAGCAACCTATTTTGATAGATGTGTGTTGCTTGGGTACCCTCTTAGGGCTCTAAATCGAGCCTGTTCTAGAATGTACTAAACAATTTCTGAGTCTTTCCTTGCATTGATTTTTCTTTGGGAAGTCTTTCACCTTTATTTTTGAGTCACTACTCGTAATGAACGGTATTGAAGAGTTCCAGGCAAAATAGTGAAAACAAATTGAATTTTAAAATCTATATCTTCGGATTTGTATGACACTACGCGTAAATGTTTGTTAAGGGCAATTATTCACATTGTTGCTAAAATTTGATCATTTTGGATTTATTTATTTTAACTCTGTAATAGTAACCTTAAATCATGGTCCATTTTGGAGACCTCATGACGACACCATGTACTGCTGTATTTCAAGATCTGAATTATTTACAAGGGTGATGTCTTCAACAAGGGCTGTTGGGTGGTGGACAGATACATTCGGAATTCTGTCGCTAGGCAGCGCTACTGAGCATCCCACATGCATATATTCTGAACTGCTGTATCTCAAGATCCTGATTATTTGGACGGATTACGTCTTCGGTAAAGTTGATCAGGAGGCCAAAGACTGCTGGGAGGTAGACAGATTAATTTGGCAGTGCTGATGAGCATGCTTATATGTTATACTGCTTCAGATCCAGATTATATAAAAGGTTAATGTTTTCGGCAAAGTTGATCAGGGGTCAAGAGCTGCTTGAATGTGGACAGATAAATTTGGAATTCTGCCACAAGGTGGCGCTAGTGATCATCCCACATGCACATATTCTGTATTGCTGTATCTCAAAATTTTGATTATTTAGACCTGTGATGTCTTGGGCAAAGTTGATCAGCGAGTCAAGGGCTGTTAGGTGGTTGACAGATAAATTCGGAATTGGTCGCTAGTGAGCATCCCACAGGCAAATATTCAACATTGCTGTATCTCAAGATCCTGAATATTTAGACCAGTAACATTTTCGTCAAAGTTTATCTGGAATTCAAAGGCTGTTGGGTGATGGGAAGATCAATAAAGAAGTCTCCCGCTAGTGAGCATGCAAATAATCTGTTCTTCTATATTTCCAGATCCTGATTATTTAGACAGGTAATGTCTTCGGAAATGTTTTCCATGGCGTCAAGGGCTGCTGGGTGGTTAACACTAATTTGGAATTCTGCCGCTAGGCAGCGTTAGTGAGCATCCAGCATGCAAATATTCTGTGCTGTTGTATCTCAAGACCCTGATCATATATAAGGGTGATGTCTTCGAGAAAGTTGACCAGGATGCCAAAAAATTCTGGAAGATGGACAGATCAATCTGATTCTGCCGCTAGGTGGTGCTAGTGAACATGCACATATTTCATACTGCTGTATTTCCACATACTAATTATATAGCAGAGTGATGTCTTCGGCAAAGTTGATCAGGGGTCAAGAGCTGCCGGATGGTTGACAGATCTCTCACTAGGTGGTGCTTGTGAGCATCCCACATGCAAATATTATGTGCTGCTGCATCCCAATATCTTGATTATTTAGATGAGTGATGTTTACGGCAATGTTGATCAGAGTGGTGAAACAAATAATTTTGCTGCTAGGTGATGCTAGTGAGCACGTAAATATAATTTGCCGTAGATTCGGTTTGTGCGAGATTTTCAGGAGTTGATACATTTTGAAAAAAAAAAATATAGCTTAGTAGTAAAGAACTTGGCTATGGACTACACTGCATTTGATCTCAAGAAACATAACTTAGATTGAAATTGTAAAAATTCAAAATAAAATGTTAACGTCCCAAATAGGTATATTAAAATGTTTTTTGCCGATTTTTTAATAAAAAAATGTTTATGAAAAATGCAAACTTTTGGAATTTTTAAAATCATAGACAATTTAAAACTGATAAAATCGTAAAACAGGAACTTTTGGTAAAATATTTGAACTAACTTTTTGAACATTGTTTTGTGAGTATAAATTACATTTAAACGTTTTCACAGAAAGTTAAAAAATATTACCAAAAGTTCGATTTTCGTACTTTTTTAAGTGTCCATTATTTTAAACAATTCAAAAGTGTGCCTTTTTAATGAGCTGCACAAGGACATTTTGAGATATGAGGGTTTTAAATATTTTGTTTTGTTTTTTTACTTGAGATTACTAAAATTATTTATTTTAATATTTTTCTCAGAAAAAAATATTATTTTTCTCTACAACTTTGTCTCGGACGTCATTTCTATAAGAATTGCCGTTTCCATGCTACCATTTTAAAAAATTTTTGAAGACGGCATTTTGAAAATTTTACAAGATCCAAAATGGCCGAATTTTAGCTAAACTGTGCATAATTGCCCATATCAAACAAATATTTCGTCATTTGTCATTGAGATTTACAATATTAGTCTCACTTGCTTGTTTCACCAAACATAGCTCGAATATAATTGTTGTAAATCGATGTCCGATATCATTTTGAAATCTAAGATGGCGGCTTCCGGTTTCAGAAAAATATGGGAAATACTAGCAAAAACCCTTCAATATGGGATTCTTTCAAAATCGAAGTGGCTTCTAGATCCCAAAAATCGAAGTCTGACACCTTTTTGAAATCCAAACTGGCGGTTTCCAGTTTCAGAAAAAAAGGGAAATACACT